TATACTGAAAATTGTTTTGAAACTTTAAAGACTTCCTTTAGATGAGGTTGAGACGGTGTCAAATTTGAAGTCTAAAGTATAAGAAATTTCTGTTAAATGGGTAGAATTATATGGAAAATTTATAGTTTCACTTCAAATTTGTTGGGGCAATTGCAAGTAAACTCTAAACACTTGGTTGACAAACAGATCAGCGAACTAAGGACTGCTATAGGACCTCTGTCTGGACGCAGTGCAAAGTACTGCAGCGATGCATGCCTGAGGAGATATCTGGAAGCTCGGAATTGGAACGTTGACAAGGCAAAGAAAATGTTAGAAGAGACATTAAAGTGGAGATCAACTTATAAGCCTGAAGAAATCCGCTGGGTATGTGAATGGGTTTTTGACTGTATAATCTTTGATTTGTTTAAGTTGGTTCTGATCAGTCTCAATCCTGTTAGAGCTGAATGAGATTCTAAAGCCTATTAGAATACTGAAAACTTCATATAGTTGGTTCAGGTTGAAATTTGCTCAAAATCGGCTTTGGTGTCTCAATGTAAAAATTAAAATTTGATGATTCCTAAATTGGATAACTGTTCTTACCCTCTACCTTCATCATTTATTGTGCTTTATTCTGTATTTGTATAGACAATTGCTTAATTTCTGGTTGCTTCAGCTTACCACATGATTTGGTTCTTGTCCAGCATGAAGTGGCGCATGAAGGTGAGACTGGAAAAGTTTCTAGGGCAAATTTCCATGACCGTCAGGGAAGGACTGTGCTTATAATGAGGCCGGGAATGCAGGTTTGCACTGGGTTTCCTTCAGTCTGTTTTTTCTTCATCAAGCTTTTATATATTTGCCCTATTAATATTTTCACCTCTGTTTCTCGGCAGAACACATCATCATCAGAAGGCAATATCCGCCACCTGGTTTATCTTTTAGAAAATGGTATCATGAACCTCTGTGAGGGCCAGGAACAAATGTCCTGGTTGATTGACTTCACTGGATTTTCGTTGAACACCAATGTTTCTGTCAGAGTAGCTCGTGATATCATTTACATTCTACAGAGCCACTATCCAGAGAGGCTGGCCATTGCTTTCTTATATAATCCACCAAGGATTTTTGAAGCATTCTATAAGGTTGGTCTCCTGCCTTCTATTTCATTAGTTTTACTATAGATCTGATCAACTAATTATTTGTTTCTGGTCTCTGTTCCAAACAATCTTTTATCTTCTTTCATACAAGTTAAATTCTATCTAATTCCATTACATGAGGGATAGCAAGCAATACTTGTTGCACATTTATGCCCATCAATTCTTAATATTATGATATTAAAAGGGCAGTTAAGGTATTTGGCCAACCGAGAGGTCAAAATTTGGTCCATAGAGAGTAAAATTTTATGCATGTATATTCTTCCACCTCCTTTGATGGAATGTGAGATAGCAGAAAAAGGGTATAGTTTGTTTCATGTGCTTGCATGCAATACATCAATCTTAGACTGATATAGTTCACTTGAAGTTTTGCATAACAGTTGCTTTAGAACTTTCATCTCTCGTCTAATTGGCATTATCTATGTACATTTCATAGGCTGTCAAGTATTTTCTGGACCCAAAAACTGCACAAAAAGTGAAGTTTGTTTATCCAAAAAACAAAGATAGTGTGGAGCTCATGAAATCATACTTTGATGTTGAGAATCTTCCCGGTGAGTTTGGGGGGAAAGGCACACTGAAGTACGACCACGAGGAATTCTCACGGTTAATGGCTCAGGATGATGTGAAGACTGCCAAGTTCTGGGGAATTGATGAGAAACCCTATTACATTGCCAATGGCAAATCAGCAGCTGAAGTGGCACCAGAGCCAGCAGCCATTGCATAGCCAGCAAATTGACAGAGCTTGCCTATTAACCAAAATGGTCAGTCAGAAATCATGTGTAATGTAAAGTACAGCCATGGATCAAATCCACAGCTTAGCATCAATCTAAGAAGATCCACTAATGAAATCCGGCATATCAACATCCAGATCCTTGCTTAGGTGAATAAACTATATTCTTGTTCTCACCGCTGACCATAAGAACATAAACAAAAATGTCTTGTACTTGTATAAATGCTACCTTAATTGTTATTGTTTCGGTCCCCCATATCTAAAGTTGAAGTTGCTGCTACTTTATTTTGTTAGCATGGTCTATTATATAGGACTGCTGAGCCTTTTAAATCCTTTCTTATCCTCTAGTACTTAAAGTCTTAAATAAACATCGCTGTTGGTTCATTAATAGTCAATACCACGATCAAATAAACTGATGGCTGATAGTTTTTCATATTCTGGGTAAAACAGCTGAGTTTTAAAATTCCACTTGAATTTCCAACCATAAGGAAAATTCGATTTTAAAGGAAATAATTGACCAATTTTCTAATTTTCTTCGACCGGGCCATATTAGTGTCTGTTATGTTGATTTCTAGATAGAAGGCCTCCGCCAAAAAAAGTCAAAATTTCCAACTGAATTAAAGCATCCATCTGATCAGCTGAAAAACGGTTTGACTAACATCACGTGGCAAGATCATAAAGCATAGCCCTCTTGTAGAACTTTAGCCGATTAAACAAAAAAAGGAAAAGTGACGTGGCACTATCATATTGGAACGAAAGAAGAAACACAAAACTAATCAGTGATCAAAGCCTGCAATAAGTAGTCAAGCACTTTCTTTGTCTTGGAGCGAAACAACTTGAAAGGCCCGAGCCAAGACTCGAGAGCGAAAAGTTCCCGTGAACCAAACGTAGAAACGAAGAACAGTAAAAAGAAAGAAAAATGACCCTGGGCCTGATCAATGCGAACCCAGTCGTTCACGCCAAGAAAGAACGAGTCGCTCGTAGCGAAGATCCTCACGGGGACGACGCCGTTGATCCTCTTGAAATCTATGATATCCTTCCTTTATTTTCCATGTTTTTTCTGATCTTGATTTCTTTTATGTTAACTATTAATAGCTTGTTAAATAGAAAAAAAGTAGTTGGAAATAGAATAAAAAATGTTGTGATCTTTGACTGGAAGTTTAAATTTTGTGAGGGATATTAGAGATCCAGAGCATCCCTACTCATTGGAGCAGCTTAGTGTTCTCTCTGAAGAATCAATCACCGTTGATGAGAAGCTCGGCCGAATTTTGTAAGTAACTTTAATTTTTAATTAGATTTAAAAAATTGTCAGAATTGAGCAAAATTGTGCTTAGAAATTAGTTAAATTTAAGTGTTCTAAGTTCTATTTCTGAAACTTTGGAGTTTGGTATTATATAGATAGCTCTCTGTTTTGTTTGATTTTAGTTGTTTAAGTTAATAATTTGGTAGTTTATTAAACTATGTGATGATGGAGTTAATTAATTGTTTAGGATAACTTTCACTCCCACCATTCAGCATTGCAGCATGGCGACGGTAATTGGTCTATGCCTGAGGGTTAAATTAAAAGAATGTTTTCCTCCACATTTTAAGGTCAGTTTCTCTATAATAAGTTGTTATTTTCAAAATTTATGGTTTACGTTTATATCTGTTGCATTGTTGTTTCAGAGATAAAATACCATTAGAAGTATTCTTGTTTGAAATCCTCTATTTTCTTCTAATTCGAGCAAAGTTTTAGAAGTCTGGGTACTTTCTGTTTTATTGCCATTACTCTAACTCATTCATGGTTTGATGGTTTATTTTTACAGCTTGACATTAAAGTCACTCCTGGTTCTCATGCTGATGAAGAGTCAGGTGAAGTTGGAAAAAATTACTAGTAGAAGTTCATTTGACATTATTTTTGAGTACTTCTCTTGAAAAAACAAATCATATCATTTGAAGTTTTGGGGGACTGAATTTGAAGTTTCATTTAAATAGGCTTGAAGAGCTTAGCCAATATAGCTTGATCCTTTATCTAATGCCTATGCTGAAGTGGCAACTTAGTATACTATATCTCATCTGGGGGTTCTTGTTTTATTGTTTTTCCTCATTGTTTTAAGTGTACATGATAATACAGAAACTAAGAGTGAGAATCTGCATTTGAAGGTGAAAAGGTGTTAGATGTCAAACAATTCATATAGGCTTTCTTCTTTTAATGAAAGTTTCTTTCGTAGGATTTAACGTACTTGGGTTTTGTTTAAGTTTATTCTTTCTGCAGAATTATCTACAGATATTCTTACCTAGAGAAATGATAGATCAAGATAGTTATACATTTATTTGAGTAATCATCTACTGGAGTAGTTTGCCCTTCATTGGCGTTTCTTTCTGTGGACATGTAAAACTTGCTTGTTTTGTTGAGTGTTTTCTATAACGTATAATATGTTATGCGAGTAGAGTCAGCTGATCTTTTTCACCATTCTTATCTTTCAGTCCACTCCCTGATCCTTAAAAGTGTTCACCTTGTTTTTTCTTCAGTTAATAAGCAGTTGAATGATAAAGAAAGAGTTGCCGCTGCCTTGGAAAATCCTAATCTTCGCCAACTTGTAGACGAGTGCCTTTACTCCAATGAACTCTGACCAAGTATGCTCACTTGCTCTACAGCTTATGTACAGATCAAACATCAGCAGTCCAGATGCAATAAGAAATGACTTTGTTGTGATGTAATATTCATTTGCAGAGTGTATATGCTTTATGTATGTCTTTGTCTTACTTTGTGTGGAAGAGTGCTTCTAGGATATATCTTTAGGTGGGTAAAACTAATCGCCTGCTACATGTTATTTGTTAACAATCTGGCCTTTCTTCATGTGGCAGTGTAACGATAACAATTAAGAGTATGGATTTCTCTTTATATACAATGGAACTCAGAAGCTAGATTAGAATTTAATAATAGTTGGCTTGTGCAATAGTTTCTTGTTTTATTTACTATTGGAAACATTCTAGAGTTGGCTTTAATCTTTCTGTTTCTCTTGGCTATGTAATTCAGATTTTACCCGGGGCTCAAATGGCAACTTATTAATGAGGATTGTGGATTTATAAGGTTGTCTTCATTTCATTGCACATTATGCTCTTTTAGTCTTTAGATGGTTTTCTCTCACTTGTTGTGTGTTGGCCCCGTAGCTCAGTTGGATAGAGCGTTGGTCTTATGAGCCTAAGGTCGCGAGTTCGGTCCTCTCCGGGACCAATGCTCCCTTTGTGCTTTGAACCGATCTGATCTTTACAATCTATCCATGAGAGGTGTCTATACTAGACTCCATAATCAATACAAACAAGAAGCAAAAATACATTTGAAACATGTTTTGCTTGCTAAAGCAACCACTCCCCTCGTCAAAAGTTTCAATTTCTCTTTTATGATACCCACTTCATTAACCAAAACTACCAAAAAGATTAGGACAAATGGAATTTGATGATTGAGTTTTTTTTTTTTTTTTAGAACTGTGGTACTGTTACTTCCATAACCATTTGCTGCAATGAAAATGCTTCTTCACAATCTGTCGCTTATTGAAAATTACGTGGCGGGATGTAATTGGATTATATGAGTACAAAAAAGCGCGGGACCTCACGCCAACGCATTAGGCTGTTGCTGAGATGTACGGTTGAAAAGGAACGATGTCGTTTTTAAAACATTTTATTCACAAAAGCGAAACTCAAAATACTAGAGAGTAAAAACTTCAATGATTTGAGAAGAGGCCGGAAACAATCCGAGAAAATGGTGCACAGCGCCTATGATTCATTCGAGCTCCTCAACGATTGTCCGACTAAAATCGACGCCATCGAATCGTACGGGTCGAAGCTCCTCGTCGGCTGCTCAGATGGGTCCCTTCGAATCTATGGTCCAGATTCCTCCGGCGCCGACCGATCTCCACCGTCCGATCAGCACGCGTTGCGTAAGGAACCCTACGCACTTGAGAGAACCGTTCCAGGTTTTTCAAAGAGGCCCCTGCTTTCAATGGAAGTATTGGAATCGAGAGAGCTACTCTTGTCGCTCTCTGAATCGATCGCTTTTCATCGGCTCCCGAATTTGGAAACCTTAGCTGTGATCACTAAAGCTAAAGGCGCTAATGTCTACTCTTGGGACGATCGTAGAGGCTTCCTTTGCTTTGCAAGGCAAAAGAGAGTCTGTATTTTCAGGCACGATGGTTAGTTCTTTGATTTTTCCTCCTGTTCTTTAATTTTTGGTTACCTGTAATTTACAAAATACCTTTCAACATTTTCATAGTGAACAGTAAATTTGAATTATTGTGGCATTTTAGTGAAAATTTTATAATGAGTTATGGTGTTACTTTACTTTTTAGCACCATTTTGTGAGTAATTGAAAGTAGAAAAAGTGAAAAATCTAACACAATCTGAATTGATGCGATCTCTCTTATTTATCAATCTGCTGATGGTTTAGTGGAGTTAATTGATATGCAAAATGTTGTTAGGAGGACGAGGTTTTGTGGAGGTGAAAGATTTTGGCGTTCCAGATACTGTGAAGTCAATGTCATGGTGTGGTGAGAACATATGTCTAGGTATTAGAAAGGAATACATGATATTAAATGCCACAAACGGTGCTTTGTCGGAGGTATTTTCTTCTGGGAAGATAGCGCCACCTTTAGTTGTTGCGCTTCCCTCCGGGGAACTTATTCTTGGGAAGGTACTGACTAGCTTTAACCGTTTAGTTATGAATTTAGGATTCTTTTGGTTGAGAGAATAAGCTGTGCTGTTCCTGCTGCCTTAGGAAAACATTGGAGTCTTTGTGGATCAAAATGGAAAGCTTCTTCAAGCTGATAGGATAGTTTGGTCAGAAGCTCCTACAGTGGTTGTTATCCAGATGCCATATGCAATAGCTCTGTTTCCAAGACGTGTTGAGGTAGCGTGACTCATGTCAAACAAAAATGAGTTTGGCCTAGCTTCAATTTATTTACGCACTTTCACTTATTCATTCTTTCCAGATTCGCTCTCTCCGAGTTCCATATCCATTGATACAGACAATTGTCCTTCAAAATGCTCGTCGTCTTATAAAAAGTAAGAACTCCGTCGTTGTAGCATTAGACAATTCTGTGCACGGGCTCTTCCCTGTTCCTCTTGGAGCACAGGTATTCCTACTTATGCTTAAGAAGTTTAATCCTATTAAACAGCTATGGTTCCTGATGCACCAACTTCTTTAAACTTTCATCTGATAATTGGCCGTTCACACGCAATTGTTCATGCTTTGATTACTTGCATTGCAGATTGTCCAATTAACAGCATCTGGAAATTTTGAGGAAGCATTGGCTTTGTGTAAGCTGCTTCCACCAGAAGATGCAAGCCTTAGAGCTGCAAAGGAGGGGTCAATTCATATAAGGTGGATTTATCCCCATTAACAGCTTTTAATTTGTGAAACCATATGACGATTCACAATGCTTATGTTACGCTTAATGTTCTTTTTTTTGCTAAGAAACGTTTAATGTTCTGAGGCATTAGTGTGAATCATTAGAAAACTTTGCACATGGTTATACTGCTTACTTTTCTTGATACATTATAAACACTGCACAAGACGCATTGCTTAATCAGGCTTACATTGTATGTTTCTAAAGTTATTGATTCTGCTTAATTGGTTGTGTCACCTTGTTTCAGATATGCTCATTATCTATTTGAAAATGGGTGCTATGAGGAGGCAATGGAGCACTTTTTGGCATCACAAGTGGATATTACCTATGTGCTTTCTTTGTATCCATCTATTGTTCTTCCTAAAACAACTGTAATTCCAGAGCCAGAGAAGTTAATGGACCTTTCTCAGGATGCTTCGCAACTTTCAAGAGGTTCATCTGGTCTGTCAGATGATCTTGATACCATGCTTCCACAACTATCAGAATCTGATGAGAGTGAAGCCCTAGAGTTCAAGAAAATGAGCCACAATACTCTCATGGCTCTTATTAAGTTCCTACAGAAGAAGAGATACAGTATTGTAGAAAAGGCTGCTGCTGAGGGAACAGAGGAGGTAGTTTTAGATGCTGTTGGGGATAGTTTTACTTCGACTAGGTTTAAGAAGTCCAATAAGGTGAGGCTAATTTCTCTTTTGTTACATCCTATCTGTTTTCATATATTTTGTTAATGATCCAACATTATGTTGGTTCCTCAGGGACGTGCTACCATATCTGTTAACTCAGCTGCTAGGGAGATGGCAGCAATACTGGATACAGCCCTCCTCCAGGCTCTGCTACTTACTGGACAAACGTCAGCAGCTCTTGAATTGTTGAAAGGTCTTAACTATTGTGATGTAAAAATATGTGAGGAGATTCTTCAGAAAGGGAACTATTATGCTGCTTTATTAGAACTTTACAGAAGTAACTCTATGCACCGTGAAGCTCTAAAACTTCTACATCAATTAGTGGAAGAGTCAAAATCAAACCAATCACAGACTGAGCTCATCCAGAAGTTCAGTCCTGAGGCAATTATTGAATATCTCAAGGTCAGTTTATTAATTAGCGGGAAACTCATTTGTTCTTAGGAATTGGTATATGTAGCTTTATTCAATTATTTGATGTAATTCCTATTCCATGGACACAAGAATAAGCTGTGATAGAACGTCTATATTCTAATTACTTTCTCTGGTTGTGTATATGCAGCCTCTCTGTGGCACTGATCCCATGCTTGTCCTTGAGTTCTCGATGCTTGTTCTTGAAAGCTGTCCAACACAAACCATTGAGCTTTTTTTGTCTGGAAATATTCCAGCAGACTTGGTCAATTCTTATTTGAAGCAGCATGCACCAAACATGCAGGGCAGGTACTTGGAGCTTATGCTTGCAATGAATGAAAATGGGATCTCAGGGAATCTGCAAAATGAAATGGTAAAAGACTTGTTTTATTTTTCTTTTTCTTTTATGTAAATAACTGTCATTTGTCATTTGAAGCCACTGGAGTTCCCAATTTCTCATAGTGGCAACTTGCGTTGATGATAGCAGCTCATAATACTTGCAATGACTAATGTAGGTACAAATCTATCTCTCAGAGGTACTTGAATGGTACTCTGAACTAAGTGCTCAAAATAAATGGGATGAGAAGGATTATTCTCCAACTAGGAAGAAACTATTGTCTGCATTGGAAAGCATTTCGGGATACAATCCAGAGGCTTTGTTACGACGTCTTCCTTCAGATGCTCTTTTTGAAGAGCGTGCAATTTTGTTGGGAAAAATGAACCAACATGAGCTTGCATTGTCACTGTATGTTCATAAGGTAAACTACCATTATGTTTCCAACATAATCTGTTCAAATTTAAAATACTATATTAGGATTATTTCTGATATAATCTTTTTTTTTTTTTTTTTTTTTTTTTTTTACAGCTTCATGTACCTGAACTGGCGCTGGCCTATTGTGATCGGGTTTATGAATCTGCCGTACATCAATCACCAGCAAAATCTTCTGGCAATATATACCTCACCCTTCTACAAATTTATCTGAATCCTCAAAAAACAACCAAGAACTTTGAAAAGAGAATCACGAATTTGGTATCATCCCCAAATACAAGCACCCCAAAGGTTGGTTCAACAGCTTCAGTTAAAGGTAAAGGAGGACGTAAGAAAATTGCCGCAATAGAAGGGGCAGAAGATTTGCGTATCACTTCCAGCAACACTGATAGTGGTAGGAGTGATGGTGATGCTGAAGAATTTAGTGAGGAAGGAGGTTCAACTATTATGCTTGATCAGGTACATGATCTCTTAGGCCGAAGATGGGATAGAATCAACGGAGCTCAGGCTCTCAAACTCTTACCAAGGGAGACTAAACTACAGGTATTTCCTAAAAGCTTGACTTACTTAGAAAACCCTGAACCATTTGTGCCTGAGTTCATATGGTCATGGTAGTCACATTGCTCAATTTCCTTTTGGGCATCAGAGTATCAACTGTAAGCTTTTTCTCTAAGTTATTTGTCTTTAACCTGCAGAACTTGCTTCCATTTATGGGACCTCTTCTAAAAAGGTCCAGTGAAGCATACAGAAACCTTGCTGTCATCAAGAGCTTGAGGCAGAGTGAGAACCTTCAGGTATGGAAATTGTTTCACATAAGAAAAACCAATTTAGCATATAAAGTGAGTTCTATACATATTCATGAATATCACTGTTTCCTTGAAAATATTTTCTTCTATTCATCTATCTCAAATCATAATTGATACAGGTGAAAGATGAACTCTACAGCCAAAGAAAAGCTGTGGTGAAGATCTCCAGT